GTTGATTTAATAAATTAGGCAGAAGAAACAAATGTATGTGTATGAGAGACAGAGAGAGAGAGAGAGATCCCCTTTTTGTAAGTTTGCTTACTCTGCAACTCCCTGCTGGCTCAATCTCTCTCTCTCTCTATCACACACACACACACACACAAACACCACACACACACACAGGTTAATAAAAAAGAGGAAGGGGGAGAAAGGTGGAAGTTCTCCTTTTTTGTAAAACCTCGGCTTCCTCCTCCCCTCCTGTCTCTCTCTCTCTCTCTCTGTCTCTGTCTCTCTTGCACACACACACACACACACACACACACACACACACACACAAACCCTTCCTGTTTTCTCCTCCTCGTCCTTTTCCTCAGCTGCACCTGAACGGAGTGGGAAGAAGTTAAAAAAAAAGAGAAGGGATGGAAGAATGGGGGAAGCTCTCCTTTTTTGTAACACCTCGGCTTCCTCAGCCTCCTCCTCTTCCACTCCTGACCGGGCCTGACGGGGTTAAGCTGGGAGGGGAGGGGCGGGCTAAAGCAAATGAGCTGCTGCTGCTGCACGCCACGTTCTTCGTTCTTTCCTGCGGGTGCTCCAAGGCACCCAGCTGGGTTGCGGTGGGCCAGGGCTGGGGCAGTGGGGGCCGATCTCTTGCCATTTCTGGGACAGCCCCGTGGGCCAAATCTGGGCCCTCCCTGGGCCGCATCCGGCCCACGGGCCTTGTGTTTGACATGTCTGCTCTAGACTAGAGCAAGGATGGGGAAACAAAGGTGTATTTGCCAAGCAGTGAAATCCTGGTATGTGTAGCTATGGGACATGGGGAAAAATGGATATCTGAGATACATATTACATTACATTACTTATGCATACACAAACATATATACAAACACAATTATACATACATACATACCGCCGATATTTTTTTTGTCTTCCCTGCTTTGCCCTCAGTTATCTTATCTTGCTCCCACTCCCATTTTTCTTGCAGGTTCCCCTTTATGATCAATGGGAAGATGTGATAAAAGGGCTGAAGGTTGAAGTATTGAACAGTGATGCCGTGCTTCCCAGTCGTGTGTATTGGATTGCTTCTGTTGTTAAGATTGCAGGTAGATCCCTTGAGGAGGAACACAGAACAGACTATGAATTTTCTTTATTTTTAAAAAAATGTGTACTACTTCTGTCCAAAGAGTTGATATAAACAAGATAAAAGTGTTAAATTAGTTACCCAGAAGTGGTGCCTTGACTTCATTAGATATATTCAAGTTGGAAACAATACATATTGCAAATTCTTTGTTTTAGCTTCCTACACTTGGTAGGTAATTAGATATGATGGCCTAAGTGGCTTTCTTCGACTGTATGTTTTCCTGACACTATCTAACCAACACATCTATTGATATCTGCCAGATGATCAACTTAGACAAGTTAACATTCCAGATTATGATTATAAGATGAGCAGCTATATAAATGTTATAAATACTTATACTTCTACCACAAACACAGTCTTTTGTATTTGATACACACACATACATATTAATAATAATGATGATGATGATGATGTTGAAAGGTACCTTGGAGATCATCTAGTCCAACCCCCTGCTCAGGCAGGAAACCCTATACCATTTCAGACAAATAGCTGTCCAGTCTCTTCTTAAAAACTTCCCGTGTTGGAGCACTCAGAACTTCTGGAGGCAGGTTGTTCCACTGATTAATTGTTCTAATTGTCAGGAAATTTCTCCTTAGTTCTAGGTTGCTTCTTTCTTTGGTTAGTTTCCATCCGTTGCTTCTTGTCCTGCCTTCAGGCGCTTTGGAGAATAGCTTGACTCCCTCTTCTTTGTGGCAACCCCTGAGATATGGGAACACTGCTATCATGTCACCCCTCATCCTTCTCTTCATTAAACTTATATACCCAATTCCAGCAACCATTCCTTATATGTTTTAGCCTCCAGTCCCCTAATCTCTTTGTTGCTCTTCTCTGAACTCTTTCTAGAGTCTCAACATCTTTTTTACATTGTGGTGACCAAAACAGGATGCAGTATTTCAAGTGTGGCCTTACCAAGGCATTGTAAAGTGATATTAACACTTCACGTGATCTTGATTCTATCCCTCTGTTAATGCAGCCTAGCACTGTGTTGGCTTTTTTGGCATCTGCAGCACACTCCTGGCTCATATTTAAGTGATTGTCCACTAGGACTCCGAGATCCCTCTCACAGTTACTACTATTGAGCAAGGTACCCCCTATACTATACCTGTACATTTGGTTTTCCTTGCCTAAATGTAGAACCTTACTTTTTTCACCACTGAATTTCATTTTGTTAGATAGGGTCCAATGTTCAAGTCAGTCAAGATCCTTCTGTATCTTAAGCCTATCTTTTGGAGTGTTGGCTATTCCTGCCAGCTTGGTGTTGTCTGCAAATTTGATGAGTTCCCCATCTATCCCCTCATTCAAATCATTGATGAAGATGTTGAAGAGCATTGGGCCCAGAACAGAGCCATGGGGCACCCCACTACACACTTCCCTCCATGTAGATGCAGTTCCATTGAGGACCACATGCTGAGTACGGCTGGTCAGCCAGCTACGAATCCATCTGGTGGTGATGCTATCTAACCCATATTTTTCTATCTTACCAAGTAGTAGATTGTGGTCTACTTTATCAAATGCCTTATTGAAGTCCAAGTAAATTATATCCACAGCATTCCTGTGGTCCACTAATTTTGTCACCTGGTCAAAGAATGCAATAAGATTTGTCTGGCATGACCTGTTTTTGGCAAACCCATGTTGGCTTTTGGTAATGACTTTGTTTGCCTCTAGGTGTTCGCTGATTCATTGCTTGATTATCTTTTCCAGAATCTTCCCAGGTATTGAGTTCAGGCTGATAGGTCTGTAGTTTCCTGGATCCATTTTTTTCCCTTTTTTGAAGATGGGAACTACATCAGCTCTTTTCCAGTCCTCTGGTAGTTCCCTAGTGCTCCAGAATCTTTGAAAGATATAGTTCAGTGGTTCTGAGATCACATCTGCCAGTTCCTTCAGAACCTTGGGGTGTAATCCATCTGGTCCTGGTGATTTGAACTCGTCTAGGGTGAACAGGTGCTCTCTTGCCATTTTCTTGCCTATTTTAACTTGTGTTTCTAATCTGTTTTTTACGGTACTGTTTTTGATAGGTTGGACTGTTTTTTCTCTTTGTTGTAAAGACGGGTGCAAAAAACAAGTTAAGTAGTTCTGCTTTCTCCCTGTTGTTTGTCATCTTCTTGCCACTTTCTCCCACTAATGGACCAATCATTTCCTTAACTTTTTTCTTGTTTTTTACATGTTGAAAGAAGCTTTTTTTTTGTTATTTTTGACTTTTGTCACAAGCCTTAGTTCATTTTGAGCCATAGCTTTCCTCACTTCATCTTTGCAGGCTCAGGCTATTTGCTGATATTCTGCCTTAGTTAGGTGCCCCTCTTTCCACTTTTTATACTTGTCCTTTTTATCTTTCAGTTTATCAGAGAGTTCTTTGTGCAGCCACGCTGGTTTCTTTTGAGAGCTGTTATTTTTCTTCTTCATTGGTATTGTGCTAGACTGGGCTTTTATAATCTCACTTTTCAAAATTTCCCAAGCTTCTTGAGTTATTTTCCTCTTGAGGATTCTCATCCATGGAATCCTTCCCAAGCTCTCTCTAAGTTTATTGAAATTAGCTCTCTTAAAATCAGAAACTCTAGTTTGACTGTATTCTATTGCTTATGCTTGCATAATGTTGAATTGCAATATTGCATGATCACCTTCTATCATTTCATCTCTGTTAGTGAGAATTAGGTCCAATATGGCTGATCCCCTGGTTCCCTTCTCTACTTTTCATTCATTCTCACACCTTGGTTTAAAAATAGACCCTTTCCAAGGAATGTTTTTCCCTTTTTCTTGGAATGATAACCTGCTAAATGAAATGTAGGAGCCGCCTTTCTAGAAACTGGGATGCTGCCATCAGAACCTCAGTCTTCCATCAATGACTTTTCTTTGTTTGTTTGTGTGTGTGTGTGTGTGTGTGTGTGCGTGCGAGAGAGAGAGAGAGAGAGAGAGAAAGAGAGAGCTGTCTTGGTTTCAAGATGGGAATCAGAAATCTGCGCATCCACAATTTTTATCCAGTCATACTAGATCTGATCTAACCTCTGCGTTCATATCCCTATCCCAAATTTTAAAAAATCAGGACTTCTAAGAAATGCCCAATTAACCTGTGCTGATCTTGAAAAAGAAAGAATTCACACAATTCTGAAACAGTCCCTCAGCCAGAAACTTTGTACATTCTCTGGTATGTATTATGTATTATGAAATTGCCTTATACCATCAGGTTCAAAATATATTCCATAGTTGAAGCTTGACAAGGAAATGATGAACTTTCCCATGGTTCCGACTTCAGAGCCTTTAGCAGGAGGCAGTTAACTAAGAATTAAAAAACAGTACTGAAGTGTCATCTCATAATCTTTACCTATCAGAATTTCAGATTGAATAGTGAAGCTAGCATTGGTGATTGGATACAAGAAAACTGTAAAAAATGTTGCATTTCAGTTCATCAAGTGTGTTTCAAATGACAAAGTTCATTAGATATAGAATTGCTTCCATAACTGGTGGAAGCTCTGTGATCTAATGGTCCATACAACCTGAATGAATGGAAGTAGATCTAGAGGAACTACTGGTGGAACTGTTAAGATAAATTATCATTGTTTAAGACTTAATGATAGTTAGATTGGCAGGACAATATCTATAGGCCCCAATGTGCCCTCATTAGCCAGCCAATGTACTCTCAAAACTTCACCTTCTACCTTACTTGTGACAGGTTGTAATTGTAACAATTCTACAATTTTATTTTGGTCCATTATTGCTACTGATTACATGTTCCTAAGGCAGCAGCTGACTATTCTGTCAAGGAAGCAAATTATACTTAAAATATGCTTTGTGGCTTCAGTGAATCTCTTACCTATCTGAAGAATAGCTATAGCACTTTACAGCCCTTTCTAAGCATATTGCCCCCCAAAATCTGGGTCCTCATTTTATCAACCTTGGGAGAATGGAAGGCTGAGTCAACCTTGAGCCTCTCAGGATCAAACTCCTGGAGTGAGCAGTGAGTTTGCCTGCAGTACATTCTAACCACTGCGCCACCACGGCTCTTACACAAGTAGAGGGAGTGAGATCAAAGTCATGAAGTCATGAAAGAACTACAGTTATTCTGCTTTACTGGTTCTAGGAGCAAATAAATAAATAATTTTATTATTTTGGGGGCAGGGGAGAAGAAAAGTATCCTTTTCTTACAGCAAAAGAGGTAAAAAAAATCCCACCTTGGTTCTGCAATCATTGATGAATGTGGAACATTTTGAGATAGGGAAAGAGAGATATATATAAAGGCATATGATGCCTGCATATATGTATGCAAAGATTTTCATATGCTAGAATAGATTTGGGAAAATATTAATGCAGGAACAACCACAATTGACCCCAAAATTTCTGTTGCTAAGCAAGACATTTTTAAGTGATTTTTGCCCCATTATATCACCTTTCTTGCCACAATTTTTAAGTGAATCACTGCAGTTGTTAAGTTAGTAACATGGTTGTTAAGTGAATCTGGCTTAACAACCATTGACTTTATTTGTCAGAAAGTCACAAAAGGTAATTGCATGACCCCAGGACACTGCAACAGTCATATATATGAACCTTTGCCAAGCATCCTAATTTTGATCATGTGACCATGGGGATGCTGCAGTGCTTGTAAGTGTGAAAAACGGTCATAAGTCACTTTTTCAGTGCTGTTGTAACTTTGATTGATCACTAAATGAACTGTTATAAGTTGAGGACTACATGTAATTTCTGGACCAACCCATTTGTCAGCCTCTTTAATGTGAATATCTAGATCTTTATAATAGACATTTTGACATTTTGTTCCTCATAGGCAGTGTTAGGCTTCAAGGTTTAGTGATTGTGGTCTAGAAAATAAATTTCCTGATTTTTTTCCAGCAAGTGTGGCTGACATTTTTAGAGCCAAAGTGGTTTGCATAACCAGCCACATTTGCCAGCAAAATGTCAGAAATGTCTGTTCTCTAGACCATGGTCACTAAACCTTGAAGCCCAACACTATCCAACAGATGCTAGCCATGAAAGCCTACACCAGTATTTTCTTACTAGTAATTCCTCAGAATCCCAGATCTGCCCAGGAATCTCCCCCAAAATCTGTACTTGTGGGGATGGAGATTGTTCTGTTCCTGTCTTCAAAACATCCATTTTGGCAGGTTACAAGGCACTGCTGCGTTATGAAGGCTTTGAAAATGATTCCAGTCGTGACTTCTGGGTCAACTTAGGTACTATGGAAGTGCATCCAATTGGTTGGTGTGCCATTAACAGCAAAATTCTGGTGCCACCCCAAAGTAAGTATTTTAAATCTTGGTCAAGTTGTAGAACTTTACAACTCACAATTTCCTTTTCTTCTCTTAATTTAATTTATGTGCATGTATGCTAGTGATTACACTGCTGTGGAACAAATTAGGCAAGTCGAAAGCATCAGAATAGAATATTTAAGTTGCATGTGATCTAGAGAATTTAAGGGAGAGACAAGAAATGGGTATGGAGGTTGTATAGATGGCATGGAAATTTTCTTGACCTGTACACTTAAATTTTTTCCCCAAAACTTTTTTTAATACTTTTTCATAATTATTTGTTTTAACTGACAATCTCTATTTTTACAATACTGTTCCATTTTCATTTTTAGAGTCATTTGAGAGTGATTTCTGAATATGTTGAACAACAACTTAATTGTGCCTGGATATGTAATTCAGCACATTTGGAAAGCAGTGAGTTTAAGAAGGTTGATTTATTTGCGATTTGATCATCAGACAATATAATAATACTGCTAACATTTGCCTTGATACTTTAATCCCTCTTATGTGTTGTGAAAATTCTAACAAATATATATACAATTTTTTGCAGCACCTCCTTGGGCTAGATCAGACTTCATTGGCCCTCTTTTCTGCTTAACTAGCACAGTGGGGAAAAAGAGACAGTATATAATACTTTGCAATACAGTATATATGAAGATTGTACTTCATTGAAACAGCTACCTATTTAGAGAGATAATACCATTGTTGGAAAATTGAGTATATATTCATTGCAGCAAGATGTTGATGCTTAATCATTGTTTAGACCCCTATTCAAGGGAATCTGCACTGATTCCAGAAAAATGTTCAGCAGGGCAAATATAACATAGATCCATAGATACAAAAGGCATACTACCCTGACTTTCTTCAATCTTTCTATACAGCTATCCATTCAAAGTTTACAAACTGGAGAGGGTACCTTATGAAAAAATTGGTGGGGGCTCGAACAATCCCAGTTGATTTCCACTTAAAGGTGAGGATGGGAACTCTAGCAAAATTATTCAAACTAATTTAGTTTTTCAGTAGCTCATTCAAATCGGGTATAAGTGGCAAGTGACTTAATTTCCAGAATTAATGCTGCATAGAATACTTGGACAGAGGATTTATCACCAACATAGTGGTGAAAAAAATTCAGTCTAATGTAGTATGTATTTTAACTCTATTTAAGAATAGCATATCATAATGAAAAATTTTATAAATACCTTATGCATCTCCTAGTTAAAACATGTCTTTAATCTCTGAAGTTCATGCACTCTAACTAACTGAATACAGATAATCCTTGATTTGTGACTATTTGTTCATTGACTGTTGAAATTACAACAATTATGAAAAAATGAATTTATGACCAGTTCCCAAAGTTATAGCAGTTACAGTGCAACATAGACAGAATTTTGCCAAACCGAAGCAGACTACTACCTACATGAAGCAAATCCTATGGAAACCATTAGAGACGGGCTATTCTCACTCTCTTTCTCTCACACAAGCTATCTGAACTGAGTTGTCTCTTCTCTGGAATGCACCCCTCCCTCTTGCAAATCCAACCCACTGCATTCCATCATACTGCCTGCACTTATGACCGTAGGAGCACTGCAACTCCCCCCACCTGCCTATTCCCCCCCCCCATGCACTTTTGACCACTCTGCATCCTGCCTTACAGGGTGGCAAGCCTCAACAAGGGGCAGCATTTGCTCAAGCCCTGGCCTTCAAAAAAGGACACTGCTTGGAGGACAGCAGAGAACAACTTCCAATGCAAGCTGCAGCAGTTTGGTAAACCTATGCTATCTTCAGAACACCATCAAAAAGACATCCAAAGCAAGCTGTGGTGTCTTTTCAAAACTTTCTGAAGATAGCACAATTAAGTTTCCAGAGCAAGTTGTGGCAGGCTTGTAAACATGCTCTATCTTCAGAAAGCCTTTGAAAAAGGGCACCGGCTTAGAGGACAGCAGAGAACAGCTTCCAAAGCAAGCTGTAGTATCTTTTTGAAGCCGTTCTGAAGATAATGCAGGTTTACAAAGACAGCACAGCTTTAAAGGCTCCGTTTGCCAGAAAAGTTTAAGTTTATGCTTTAGGACTGATTAAATATTTGAACCTAAGTCTTCAGTCCTTAAAGAAAGGTATGAGAAGGCAGCTGAGGAGCAAATGCTGACATGGGATGGGGGAGAGAAGGAATGCTAAGGCTTGAGTGAATGCTGCTGCTTTCTGAGATTTGCCAGTCCTCAAGGCAAGATGCAGGGTGGCCAAGAGTGCATAGATGGGGAGGAGATATGCAGGTGGGGGGAGCTGGATCAGATCTGGCAGTGACCAAATCCGGAATATATTGGATTGGGGTGGGCATTCACTTAATGGCCTGTAATTCTTGAGAGAGACAGGATTGCAGTCACTAAGCAATGAAATTATGTGACACTTCACTTTATAACCACATCACTTAGTGTCTGAAATTCCAGTCCAAATTGTGGTCATAAGTCGACTATCTCTAATATAGTGCAACTACAATGACTATATTTTCTTGGACAAAGTAAAGACAGAATCTGAAAAGGGAAATTTGAAAGAGGTTCATAAGGATAAAAAATATATATAATTTTTATGTTTATAATTTTGTTTTACAAATGAAAATTCAAGAGCAAAATTCAAGAAAAAATTTACAAAAACACACATTCTAATAAAAATATTTTAAATATTTTAAAATACTTATGTAAATGTATTTTAAAAAGACAACTCGGTTTCCATATTTTCACATCAGTGTGAAAGACTGTATGCATCAAGTTGTACCATTTGTACAGTAAATGTTAAATGATCAAAATAAAGCATAAAAGTGAGTTTTTGAAAAATAAACCTGGAAACCAGATTTCTGAAATGAAGGATTATTGTTTATAATAAATGATATATGGTCACTGTAACAAAAGCTCTGTCATTTTGCTACCTTGCTTTAAACTCCACTATTCAAAGATATGAAACCTTCTGAATTTGCTGATTTTTTCCTGCTTATATCTTGTGAAAGTATATTTTACAAAAAAAAGTTATTTTTTTCTAATAATATAAAGTAATGAAATGCTACAAGTCATTATTATCCCATCATCTCAATTCAGTGCAGACATGGTGAAACCAGCTGGCATTAGATCACTTAAGGAACTCATGATAGTTGTTGCAGCACTTCCTGATTTGCAGGATATTACTAAAGAACACAATCCATTAAATATGAATAATGCTGCTACCCATCTGCATTTACTTTTTCAGATTATACTGTGACCTGGTCCTGAACAGGAAGGAGAAACTTTAATTCCACTTTCATTCCCATTAGTTAATAACATTTTCTTTCCTTCTGCTATTTTGTTTTTAAATAACTGCAGCTGAAAAAGAATGGCTAACCCATAAGGCCAAGGGAAAGATTTAAGTTTTCTATTTTCCTCATACAGTGATTCTGTTCCAGATCACTTCCCTTTGTGTTTACTTTGAAGACATATAAGATGGAGGGACAGCTTCACAATATGTATTTTTTGTAATGTCTAGGTTAGATCTCTAGGTTAGATCTTGGTTCTGGGATATAGTAATGTGCCAGCATTTCCTTTTTGCAGAGTCATGGGGCTTTAACTCCCTTAATAAAAATTAATTTTTAAAACCTCAATTGTGGCTCTGGAGTTATGGTTAAATGTTTTAATTTCCCAAGTAAAGCAATTGATCATCACCTCAATGTCCACTTTCTGGTTTATACTCAGATGACGGAGAACATGAAGTATCCTTTCCGGCAAGGCATGAGGGTAGAAGTAGTGAACAAGGCCTGCATATCCCAAACACGAATGGCCATTGTGGATACTGTAATTGGTGGCCGGTTGAGGCTTCTCTATGAGGATGGAGACAGCGATGATGATTTCTGGTGCCATATGTGGAGCCCTCTAATCCATCCTGTAGGCTGGTCCAGAAGGGTTGGTCATAGCATAAAAAAAACAGGTGAGGTTTCATATTGGAGGCAAACAACAATCATTTACTTTGACTCACTGGATATTGTAAAGAACTCTCATAGATCAGCAATAGTTAGAAACAATTGCACTAGAATACACTTAGCCTAATTTGCTCTCTTTCTTTTGAACTTTTTGTATACATGTATTTCTTATTATAAATGGATTAAATAAATATTATATGCAGCTAAGGTTTATATGTATGTATACATAAACCTTTATTGCATTATTTTGGAAATTAGATAACATTTGAGGTTGCTAATATCCCATAGTACTGTACTATTTTTCCCTTTTAAAGATTATGAATAGCTAGAAAAAACCCCTCCCCCAGTTCTCACTGCTGTCTTTATATGTCTTTCCTGGTGGAAGAAAAGAATAATGATATGGCAACCCATCCTACCTTCCGGAAAATCTATTGTGATGCTGTTCCATATCTCTTCAAAAAGGTAGGAATAAGTCTGGTTCATAGTGCTGTCCCGTAGGACAAAGTTGACTAAAAGGGGTAAAAAAAAAATGTAGTTTGGATATATTCTGTGAAACTATTGAATTTTTTCTTATGCAGTACAGGGAGATGGATTTGGTAATGTCCGAGAAACACAGTGTAAGTATTTGACTGATTTAGAGTAAAGAAATGAATCTCTGGGAACTAAAGGGAAGAATTAAACAGAATACTTTTTTTCCAGAGATACAGAACTGGTTTTTAGTGATTAAAAAAAGAAGCATTCTAAGACTAAGCCAGCCTTCCCCTGCTTCTCCCAGACCTGAGCGTGGCCTGCGAGGTCAACTGCAACCCTCTACACCCTTCTGCCAGCTGATTATTTTCCCATCATCTTCAAATCTTCATGCCATCATGCTTCTTTCCACCTTCCCCCATATTTGAGTAGAGAGAGAGGACAAAGTAGCTATTCTGCTCATGTGTAACTTGTTTTAAATCTGGGAATGAATTGAGATATAAGTAGATGAGATCACGGAGTGGCATGGTGGCCTAGTGGTGAAGACGCCCGCCTCCCACTTGGAAGGTTGAGAGTTCAGTCCTAGGTAGCAGCAAATGTTTCTCTCTTAGGGCACAAAGAAGAAGAAAAAATCTGCCGCGAACTCCATGTGGTGTCAGGGAGGGCATCTGGCCAGTAAACGCTCATCTCCATCCATGACTCTACCCTGAATTAAGGGATTACAGGGTTGTAAAAAGACTATAAGGACATGAGATCATATTATGTGTTAAATGTTTATATTAATTGTAAAAAATAATAATTCACTGATATTTCATTTTCCTCCCCACCCATTATTAAAATAACTTTATATAATTCTTCCCTCACTTTTGCAGTTCCTGGCATACTATTTAGGGTATGAAAAAAACCATCTTGACATGTTGTTGAAATTCTCATTAGCCAGAGCCAGAATAATCCAACATGGTTTGGGATATCAGGAGAAAATGTAGTTAGAGGACGTGGACAAGGTCTTGGGGAGGCTGAATGCAACCACATGTTTATTAGATCCGTGTCCCTCCTGGCTGGTACTGGCAGCTCGGGAGGGTACACGAGCCTGGTTCCAGGGAATTATTAACGCTTCTTTGCAGGAGGGTGTCTTCCCTGCGGCCTTAAAGGAGGCCGTTGTGAGGCCCCTCCTCAAGAAGCCTTCCC